TACAGTGGTGGGGAGATTAGCAAATACTTTGTCAGATGTGTTAGCCAAGCAAGGGGTAAATAGGGAAGAATTGTTTTCGGCTCAGTTGTGATTCTTGCTTTTCTTTCCTAGTTTACTTGTAAGATTCAAGGAGGGGCTGCAGCTCGCGCCTCTCCTTGGGATGTTGTATGAACTCACTCTAAATCAGCTTCTGAATTAATAAATTTATTATCATTCATCAAAAAAAGTCCAATAAAAATATGGGTTAAATACACTTGAACCATCTGACAATTATCTAAAGTATCCCTAAGATTTAAACACTACTTAAAATACCCCCTGTAAGTGGTGTGGTAAGGCTGAGTATAGTGGTCTCCTTGAAGGACGAAGAAAGGCTAGAGGTAACAGGGTAGCGGAGATGAGCAAGGGTTCTAGGATTGATAGAATTGTGTCCCTCTATGCCCACCTTTTTATAAGGGGAGATCCCAAGGTCCTTAAGGGAAGGAGCCAAAAAGGGATTTGACTCCCATTTGGAAAGGGAATCTTCAATTCAGTGTTTGTTGCCAGGACACTACTGAGGGTTCGCCACGTGTCATGCGAGAACTTCCCGAGACGAGGTTTCCTTTCGTCTGGGGGTTCTCACAGTGCATGTGTACTACTTCCTTTTGCGGGTCTCCTATGTCAACGTGTTGTCAAGGACAATCTCGACGTGTCTTATCCAAGGCTTCGTCATCTACTCAATATTGAGCATAATCGCAATCGCACAACGGTCTCTTTTCATTTGGCGTGTATTCCGCAATAGCTCACGATCCTGTTGTGATGCGGTCCTTTACGTGTTATTGTGATTTTATTTTGATGCAGACATTGTGATTAGAGTTACAATGAATTACATATACTTACACCCCCAAGGTATAATGTGATTATGGTTGCAACTTGGGCCAAGTTAGCTTGAACCTAGCCCAAAAAAGTAGGGTTAGGTCGGGTAGTTTGAAGTTGGGGTTAGGGTTAAGGTTGAAAAGTACGAATTTGACTTAACTATGGGTTGGGTTAGGGTTGAGGAATTAACCAATCCAACCCAAACCTGACTTAACTTCATATTTGCATGTATAAATATGTATTTATGCACGTAAGTACTTATTATATGTGTGTTCACTATTCATGCAAGTTTGTGCATGCAACCATGCATCTATAAATGTATATATCTATATATTTATGTATTTTTTTTTACTTCAAGTATTTATGTATTTATGCATATAGTATTTATGTATATGTATGTGTGCATCTATATTGTATGTTAAAAATTTATAGTTAAAGGCATTTTTTCTAAAACATGATAATCATGTTCCTTTAGACATAAAATACTAATAGTGAACTAACATGAACTCTAAAAGTCTAAGAAATAAGTACATCTGGCAAAAGGAAACAGAGAAGTCAGGCCAACTTGAGACTAACCTAAACCTAAACCCAACCCAAGCTCGACTTGAACCCAAGGATTGGGTTTGAGTTAGGATTGGGGGCTCAAGAACTTGGGTTGGGTTAGGATTGACCTCAACCCAATCTAACCCACCCCAACTTGCACCCTTAGACATGATATAACACATGCTACCTTTCTGTTAGTTGGCCATCACATTCCATTTACATGTGACATTACATGACTCATTTAAAATTTGAAAATTCCAATTGTGTCCTCTACAGTAAACATGAAGCAGGCATAGTTGCATGGTGAAGTACCTTTTGGTACTACACATAACAACCACCGGTCCACTTTCCCTCTCCCTTTCTTTCCTTTTTTTCTTCTTCTCTCTTCTTCGTTCCTCTCCATCTTCCCCAATATTTATTTGATGATCAGTTCAGGTACATCTAAGGTTCATGCTCTTGGGCGTAACTAGAGAACTCTACATAAGCTCTTAAGTGGGAGAAGTTCAAGGAGATACCTTTAGGTATAACTGGTCTTCAAGCTCGAGCCGGAACCCAGTCCAACCACTGGGCCTAGATCTTAGGCTTCTAAGCCCAGCCCTCATAAAAGCCTGAGGCCTGAGCCCAATCACCGCTATTGAGATGGCATCGCTGTTCACCGTTGTTGAGGATGGGGTCGCCACTGTTGATGGAAGATGGTATCCAGTTGCTCAGCTCAACGGTCGTCACTATTGAAGATGGGGTCGCCGGCTTGCCGCTGTTGATGGACAATGGTACCCAGTTGGTCGCTCAATCTGTCGCTTGCGTAAAAGGGTTGAGGAATGAAAAAGTAGAGAGTATGCTATCGAATGAAAAAGTAAGAAACAGGTTGGGGAGAGAGTATCGAGTGAAATAGGGTTAGAAGTTAGATTATCTGGGGGTGTTGT